ATATTTATAAAATAATATAATATTTTAATAATAATATAATTAATAAAGTAGAAAATAATACAATAAATCTGAATAAATTATTAATATCAGTTACTAATTTTTTACACTTAAATCAGTGCGTGTGAATATTTAAAAATATTTTTAACAAAAGCTTTTTCTTCAAAAATTTAATATTTTTATGAACAGGTTCATCCAATTCCACTGGTAATTTGACAACGGAGGCGAGTTTGCCATCCATGGAGCTGAATGCAAATGAATTGTCGGAGGCTTTCGATTATCTATTATGTAAACTTAGGAAAGGCTCGCAAAGCACAAATCCAACATGTATTTTGCGAATATTTTACAAAGTCGGCAGCTTTCTGGCCCCAAATTTTCTTCACAACGTCCTATCGAAGTTTTCTACACAGAATTTAGTGATTACTATTATACCGGCTATTCAATTACACAATTTCAGTACTTTATTATCTATATATGGTATTAGGCACGAGTAAATACTCAAAATGATTTTTTACACTGTCAATTATTCATCGGAATTGGAGCGCACATTAGGATAAAAAAAATTGATGCTTGAAAAACAGCACGCAGGTAAGACAGCTGTTTTGACACGAGAAAAAGAAAAAAAAATACATTAAAGTTTTTTTGTTTCATTTTATGAGAATACTCATTTTATAGAATACTCACGGAGTGCAACTATAATTTGACTGATCGTGAATTACAATCGAAATTGTGTGAATCTTTGTGTATTTTTTTTTTTTTAAACAGCACTTTTGTTTTATACATCTTTTTATAGCTTTTGCTTTAATTTTTTCGATCGTTATGAATCCAGTGCTGTTCAAAGGAGAATGAAGCGGCATTGCAACGGAATTTAAAATTAAGTTTTGTATACGTGCGCAAATAATTCTCGATGTTATTTTGCTTCATTGACGGTCCGATAGATGTATTTGAGCACTCGCGTTTCATACGCGTTACATACGCGAGAGACACGGCTGTTGGTTCGACATTTACTGACGATGTAGTTACACCGCTGTTTCTTCTAGCCATACTTTTATGTAATGTTCTCGCAAGCTCCATTTTCCTACGAATATTGAAGATTCTGTATCTTTTGAATATAATAATAACAACAAAAGTGCAGCTAAGAAGAAACAGACGCTATATTATCTTGTATATCGAGTACTACTAGTCAATGACGGGTCAAGTGCAATTCTGAGCTGTGAACCCGTCCCCGTTAGCGCATAAGTGCTCTTTAACAACGCGACTACATATTAAGTATAATAATACTCGTACGAATTGTACTGCTGATTACGCTGAGATTTATTTTTTCTTTTGCTCAAAGTATACGTTACTTTATGGCGTTGTAAATCATATGCGGAATGTTAATTAACATGTGTGATGTTTCTCTAAGCGACATTAAATCGTACACAGCCATTTTAAACTAACACTCGACATTACTCGAATTCTAAACGAAAGGAAGGAAACGAATGATTGTTGTCGCGAGGAAGAAATTATGGATTATCACTGGGTGTCTCCGATGCGATTTAATTTATGATTGGAGCACATAGAACACATGTGAAACATACATATGTATGTATGTATATACATTCTTCACAAAGATGTTCTTCGCTGTCACTAATGCTGCCGGTATCGCTAGATAATTATATATGATTGATTGAGTGTGTCACCGAAATTATGGTGGAAAAAAATATATCATGATTAAAACAACATCGCAGTTTTAAAGAAACCGGGAAAAGAAATTGAAGTCGGCCAACTCGATATAACATGCTATGCAGTAGTTTTGTATTTTTCGCGCGTACGCACTGTTTAGAAATATCTTGTACAGATTGCATTGCAATACAAACTCTAAGATTATTCTGATGTAATATTATATATAAGGTTGATGCAACGATATGCCAAAGTTTATATTTTGCAACTTGCTCATTTTTTAAACAGTCGCAATTATTCGTTATTTCTGTATGTGTACATAATGCAACATAATCTAACACTTATATAAATATATTATAACTGATTTTTGACAGCGAAAAAGAGAAAGAGCGCACTGTTCAAAATGTGGATACTCTGTAATGATAAGTATGTAAAAACACATGCAAAAGAAAGGATGTTTATTCACATCTGATTTCCGCAACAGAACATTAATCCGAGGATTATGTCGTAAAAGAAAAATAAAGAGAATGATATATATTTTTAAGAAATAGCTATTTTTTTAGTTTCACATTTTATTTCTTTCCCTTCTATTCTACATATATATAGCGATCGACAGAAAAGACAATATTTTACAAAACTTATTAATGGTATACTGATATGGTTCTTTCTCTTCAAGAATATCCGAGTTGGTAATTTAAAAAAAAATGTAAGAATATAAATTTATCCAATAATGATATTGTACTGTTTTCGAAAATGAAGAGAAAAATGCAGTCTTCTCTGATGTTAATAATATCTTGAATAGGCAAAGATGATATCAACGACAAAAAAAATGATTTAAGTGTAATATTTGTTTAAAATTTTGAAAAAAAAATTATATTAATATATATAATTTATTAA